ATTTATAAATGTCAAAAATACAAAATAGAAAATATATTTCATTGTTACCTGCTACTTGCACAGCTTGCCAAATGTTTCTTTAAAACACAGAATGAAATGTTATTTTGACATTTAGGACGCTTCGGTGTCAATCCAGAGTCCTCATCAGTTTCCTAAAAGAGTAAACAATTAAAAATAATGTATTAATAATACACAGCTTGCCAAATGTTTCTTTAAAACACAGAATGAAATGTTATTTTGACATTTAGGACACTTCAGTGTCAATCCAGAGTCCTCATCAGTTTCCTAAAAGAGTAAACAATTAAAAATAATGTATTAATAATCATTTATAAACTGTCATTTATATTTTATCTATTAGAACTTTCTTAAGGATGTGTTTCAAATTCACACATAACTTGAGTGCCTTTGAATATTATTTAATGGATACTTGCGCTATATAGGTGAATTTGAATGATTGATTGATTGATTGATAACTGATCATATTATGCCTCTTTACCCTTTCTGAATCCATGTTTAGTTCATGTTGAATTGGTCGTATATAGACTCTACATTGACCTGATATTTCTTTTATATTCAGGAGTGAATATGTCCCCTAATTGGGGTAAGCTTTCTTCCATTCCCAAAGCATATTATTATCTCTAAACCCCAGCATCCCTCAGCTTGGGAAAGTTAGCATATAGTACTTCCTGGAATTCATCCGGATTTATACTGTTATGTACTGTTATGTTTTTTTACCAAGCCCAGCTTCTGCTAGTTGTTGCTTTTGCCAACATTTTGGTGTTATTGCCGATGGATCTGACAGGCAAACTATCTTCCGAGTCCATGGCGTCTTCGAGTGCCTTCCTTTTTTTTGGTGTAGGGGCTGTGTCTGGCTGGCATAAATCTAGACAAAATGGATCCTATAAAATACAAAACAGGTAAAAAAAAACATTGAAGTAAACTTAAGGTGAATTAGGAGCACATTTCAGATCATCTGAAATAGTGGCCTACCTAGAAAAAAAAATGTGATATTCAAGGTCTGATGTAAGACAGTCCAGAAACCAAAATCGACGCCAGATCCACGAGACTTGAAAGCTATATGGATATACTGTAATACTATTTGCATACCAGCCCTTACTCAGGTTTAAAAATTCTAGAGAAAAGTGGAAATACTATACTATAATAATTGTGGGTTTAAACATATGTTGTCTCAATTCAGGCAATGTATAACTTGGGAAATTCAGTGACCTTTCATAATAATAATAAACAGGTATGTATTCGGGAAAATAAATAAAATGAAATATTAAATTTAAATTCTTACATAAAATATATACATATGATAAGTCACTTTATGATAGATACAATACACAGGTACAAATAGGCCTACCTGTTTGTCTACAATTTATTCTTAGTCGGTGCCTATCACCAATTGTTGTCACACTCAAATTTTCAAGTTGGGCATCTGACAGCGTGGAGATTTCGTCACTGGTAATCTGAAAAGAATAACACAGAGAATAAGTCTCTGACACATACAATGCAGCACCCCTACACACAAACACAAGTTGGCTTTTACAAAGAGTTCATGAGAATAAAAAAAAATTGTTGCTATTATTATAAAAATAATAATACTGTCTCCCTTTCGAAATTCTCCAGAAGATGCATTAAATGAAGTTAATTAAGTACACCTTTAATAGGTCTAGGTCTAAGCCTAGTAGGCATAAGTACCATGGTGCCATAGATGGTACGGCGTTGCGACTAAACTTGTATAGGCTCATTCCCACAGCCGCTCAAATTGTTCATTTGACCCAATGTCAAAGGTTATATTTTATTTATTTGCGCCGAATGCAAATACTACGCCGAATGTAAATGCACCGAATGGTAAAAGAGCCGAACGTAATGGTAAAAGAGCCGAATATAAATGCACCGAATGGTGAAAGGGCCGAATGAAAATGCGCCGAATGGTAAAAGAGCCGAACGTAATGGTAAAAGGGCCGAATGAAAATGCGCCGAATAGTAAAAGAGCCGAACGTCGAATGGTAAAAGAGCCGAACGTAATGGTAAAAGGGCCAAATGAAAATGCGCCGAATGGTGAAAGAGCCGAACGTAATGGTAAAAGGGCCGAATGTAAATGCGCCGAATGGTAAAAGAGCCGAACGTAATGGTAAAAGGGCAGAATGTAAATGCGCCGAATGGTGTTGCTGTTACCGAAGGCAGCGATGGCGTTCCATAGATCTGACGATCTTTGTAAATGATGACGATAAAAAATAAAATAGCAACTAACTAAAGGCGCCCTCTCTAAAGCCATTTTCAGACTCTATTCTATGGTATTTTTAGGCAACACAATAATATTAATAATAATAATATTTAATAATAATAATAATAATAATAATAATAATAATAATAATAATAATAATAATAATAATATATGTTGAAGCTTGCGGTACACCACGTAAGTAGTTATGAAAAGAACTGTTGTAGTTGAGAAAGTCTCGACGTTTCGATTGAGTTGCTTCAATCGTCTTCAGGAGAATAATATCTGCAGATACTCCAAACAGGGAAATACTTATGTTTGGGTAGAGAGGCTGGATGGTGATAAACTGACCAATGGGTGAAAGGCTAATAATAATAATAATAATAATAATAATAATAATAATAATAATAATAATGTTCAAATAATTTCATTTGGCTTCTTGTAAATATGTAGAGTGTAATTTTCTTTTTTTCTTTTTAAACTAAGCCAAAACAACGTAAATTACGTACCTTACATTACTAGTACCCATGGTGGGAAACTCAGAACACCACGTAGAAAACTCCAAGCAATTGGTCAACAACATCAAAGATATTCAGCTGAACCCAGATGAAACGTTTGTGTCGTTTGATGTTACATCACTATTCACAAAAACACCCGTGAAGGAGGCGCTGAACATTGTTAAGGAAAGATTATTGCTGGATGGTGGACTGAAAGAAAGAACAAACTTAAATGTAGAAGACATCATTGAACTATTGGAATTTGTTTTAACCACCACATATTTTTCTTTTAACAATGTTATCTTTAGACAGAAATTTGGTATGGCTATGGGCAGTCCTGTGTCACCATTGGTTGCTAACATGTACATGGAATGGTGGTTGGAGGAGAAAGCTATCTCGAGCGCTACACCTGACACCAAGCCTCGTTTTTGGAGAAGATACGTTGATGACATCTTAGCTATCATTCCCAAAGGTACCGTAC